CTCAAAGGGCACTTTTTTATAGGAAGTAAGGAGGTATTTTTTGGAGGGCTCTAAAGGAAAAAAGCGAGGTAGAAGTTCTTACGTGGTAATCAGAAGGTCGGTCATTTTCTAAAGATAATTATTGGACTGTTTCCAAGCCATTGCTATTATTTGTGGTAATTTTATTTACCGCATGGAACTAAAAATATTTATTCCTAGTTAATGTGTAGACACAATGTTGGGAATTTTACTAAATGCATTATCGATTAATTATAATATTACATGAATAAATCTGTATGTAATAAAACTTAATTAATTCCCATGTTATTTTAAAGATATTGTTTTTCCTTTATACATGAAGCTAATTCTCTATGAGTTCTTTTTTTTTTAATGTTTCCTTTTATCATACTAATAAGAAGGATGAAGAAAAACGAAAAAAGAGAAAATTTTCGGAATATCTAGCTTACTATGAGATTCTGTGTAACCATAATAAGCCGAGGGTAGAATGAATTGATGCATGAAAATGTTAGAAGAGAAGAATGGAAAGGTTTAGACAGGTTCGAGTGATTATTCATTATATAAGAATTGTTTTATAGGGTTTATTCCTGCTTGTTGAGTTACCATCATAATTCTTGCATTGTCATGAGTTTCCATCAAACATGCTATTCATATATAAGAGTTTGTTGTATTCTCCTTATATAGAACACAAAAAGGATTTTTTGGTAGTGATTGATTTATTAAGAGGTACTTCGGAAATTAGATGAATGTATTCAAATAGGAAAAATTTCCTAGTATTTGCTAAATGTGTTTACCACAGGCAGCTAAAAATTTTTTAGTAAAAAACCAATTTTCATGAAAATAACATTTTTGTTTGAAACACTAAATCCGCCGATATTCCAAAAACAATATTATTAAAGATATTTCATTTCTAAGCATCTTAAGAATGATTAAGTTAAATGAGAATTTTTTGTTAATTTATATATTTCTATGAGTATATACTTTAAATTCTAAAAAATTATATAAAATTTGGATTTTATTGAACTTCAACTAGTATTTATATAGCGAAACTACATTATATATAAAAGAATTCAATAGAATTTATAAGATAAAAATTTTTTAACCAAAAAAAGAATTTTTAGAATTTGTTTTATATAAATTTGAAGCTAAGTTCGCATTAATTTACGTAAATATTATTTTATGATCTGTATGATCGCATTGAAAGTATCATATTATTAACAACATTTGAAGATTAAAATGTGGCAATATATTAAATGTTAGTTTTTTTTATTAGTAATAGGACTTATGACGATTACTAAAAATAAATATATCCATATTTCAATGTATCTAGTTTTTTTATACACTACATGTAAAAAGTGATTTCATAGAATTTTTTAGCGTAGATAAAAACTATGCTATAAAAAGCACAAATTCTATATTAAAACCCATTTCTAATCTATATAAAAAGCTAGTAGACCAATTTTTTGTTTTGACATAAAATCCTCGTAAAAATACAATACATATTTAGGATTATGATAAAAATATGCGTAAGAATAACTGAAAATAAGAAATATTGTTACTTTGTATTGCTGGTTATATATAAATTTTTGTTTTGGAAAAATTTAAGATTAGATTTTAGGTTTATTTTCTATTTTTATGTAGATCACATATTACAGATTAAAATAAAAAAATTTATAATCGAATATATGAATATTATTTTTCAAACAAAAATTGTGATCTCATTTTGCAATATACTATTTTATGACTTTTTCCCTTGGATTTTTTTATTGAAACAGACTTTATCAACATGTTCTATGATATTATATGTATGACTTAATGTGAAAGATCGAGATTAGTAATGAGGTATTTAAAATTGATAAATCTAGTATATATTATAACTGATAAAGTATTTCGGTTATATATTCTAATTATTTTTTAAATTGTGAATCTTATAGTGTAAAGTCACAATTTAGAGAATTTTAAACGCGAATATACACTTTTTCTGTTATTAAAAATAGTTTTCAGATAATATTGTTGTGATATACAATATCAAATATGTTTAATATTTAGAAATTAGTAATTAAAACCATGTGTTTTAAATTTATCTTATCGATATCCTAAAAAAAAATTTATGTTTATAGTATTGTGTGACTAATTTCTTTTTTAAAATTGAAAAAATTAGTATGCGTAAAAAAACAATATGAAACATTTCTATATTGGAATTTTTTGTGATTTTTTAGAGATAAGAAAAATCACAAAAAGTTATTTAAGTAAAAAAAAAAGAGAATAAAAAAAGGAGAATATTATACAAAAAAAACTTTAGTAGTAGTAATAACAGTAGTAGCAATAATATTAGATGTAATCATATTAGTAGCAATCATTTGTAATAATAATAATTATTATAACAACAAAAACATTTCTAATCTTTTGGAATTTTATTTTAAAACCAACAGTGTTCTTCTTACAGGACATTGTAAAATATAAAATTGATTAAATATAAATTTTTGTGTTTTTCTTTTCAATTTTACTTAAAATTTTGATTTTTGTAGAAAGATTGATCTTATATGTTTTTTTTGTTTATCAAAAACAAATTAAAACCTTTTTAATATTTTTTTAGTTTTTTTGTAAATTTTATAATCGTTGATAAATTTATTTAATAATATTACATAAAAATTATATCTGTAAAGGAAGAAAATAAGTATCATATAAACGATGCAAGTTATAATGGATGCGGAGTGTGATCTATATAAAGTTTTACAATAGAAAATGATAAAAAAATAATAAGAAGAATGTATAAAAATATAAAACCAGAAAAAAAGGGAAAACATACAGTGAAAAAAATAAATTGCAAAAAAAAGACGATCTTACAATTCAATGAAGTTTTTTATTCAGTCAGCGATACATAATTTAGTCATTTATTTTATATAATACAGTTATGTTATGAAATTATTTGAGCAATCAAAAATAAATTAACAGTTAATCACCTTTTTTATTAACGAATTAACCAGAGGAAAGTCTCCCGAAAAATATTATCACAATAACGCAATTCTATGTTTTAACATAATCAGAAAGTTTTCTTACTTTCTTCTTATATGAATTTTAATATCAGTTGCTTGTAAGACATTTGTTTCATCTGTCTATATTTTTTTAATTGAAAAATTGGCAAAACGATTTTAGTCTCGGTGATAGGCTAGATATGCGAATCATCTGTGTTTTAAAATTAGTAAATATTGAAAAAAATTGTCACAAAAAATCACAGTAATTCAGCAACCCTGATTTATTTTATAACTACAATTTTCATCTCTCATCTTATTACTATAGTTTTACGTCATGATAAAATCATAATCTTATATTTTTCGTCTATTTTGTACCTTTCTCACATAGAAAATCATTTTTGATATGAAATGTAGTTGTTTTTTATTAGATTTTTATTTGAGGTCCATAAAATATATGAAATGTAGTTTAAAGTAAGATGTTATAATAATTATTGGACAACATGTTTAAGATATGATAAAAGAAGTATAGTTGTGATTGATATTTGCAAATATTAAATAAAATTAAATTCTTTAAATATTTGAGCAATAATAAAAACACTAATCTTTTTAAAATCACATAATTTTCGGCACCAATAAAAATCAATATTTTTTCACAAGTTTTACCTGAATAAACATTTAAATTAAAATATTTTAAAATAGCAATACGAACCGGCCATTAATTCAACAAAACATTAAATTTTTTTGCTTCTAATAATCAAATGAGATAAAAATAAATTGATTTAACGAATAATTTATTTTCCTAGTTCAATTAAACAATAAAATCAAGAAAAATTTAAATTACTTTTAATTTAAATTTTAAGTGGTAAAAATTTTCTAATTAAATTTTTTGAAATTTTAAATAAATAAAAAAAACCATAAAATAATAATACAGAAATATTAAAAAAATTTGGTTACTTTATTTTTTTTTAATTTCCACTTATAAATTTTTTACTAATAACTACTCTAAAATTTGAATGCAATTATTGTTGTATCTTGACTGATAATCCAGTTATTTTTGCAAACATCCTTATATATATTTATCTTTCACTCGTATTTAAATGGTTTTTGATGTTTTTTTCTTATACCTATGAGATCACTTATTGAAATAAGTCTATAATTCACATTGGTTTTTTATAAATACAAATTTCCTATGCTTGAAGCTAAAAACATTTTTAATTGATTTTTAGGTATGAAAAATTATTATTGAAGAAAAGAAAAATTCTAAATAACAACAAATTAATTACGATAAAAAAATATGGGTTTTTAATATAATTGTTTTTTTTAATTTGAATATTTTGAATGCTAAATTAATTGTTTTATTGTAAAAGGTATTTAGGAAAGGGTTTAAAAAGCAATGCTTTTTGTCAAATAAAAGATTATTCTAAATAAGAACATTTTTGGCGAAATTATTCACTTTTATACATTTATTCGACAATTAGTTTATTTTAACAGAAATTTTTAGAACACATGATTAAATAAATTTTAATATAATTCTACAAAAACAACGTTTCTCATTAGATATTTATAATTTGAAGGATTCTGAATATTTCATATCATTTTGAGAAAAACATATTATAAGATTTAGTTACTATTTTATTTTTTAAGTTTTAATCTATTGGCATTCATAAATTAAAATTTAAAAGTACAAATAGATTTTTTAATTTAAATATTATAGAATTTATAAAAAATATTATGTTTTAATTTATGATATTTATATTATTATACGCGAAGATTTAGTTGAAAAGTTGTATGAATTGGGCCAAAATAACATTATTTTTAGATATAAGTTAGTCGTTTTTTGAAAATTAATAAAGTTTTAATACTTTACGAAATTAAATTTATTTAATATAATTTTGAGAATTTTTTGAATACCGTTAAATATAAATTTTATTGATAATTTTTTTGCGAATTATTTGCATATTATTTATTTTTTGCTTATTATTTACTTTGATCTGTTTGTAATAATATTATAAACACAAATTTTTTGTAGGCTCTTTAGTTTAATGGCAGAATGTTTGTTTCGTAATCAAACGGTGACGGTTCGATTCCGTCAGGAGCCTTTTGACCTCTTCACCAGAACTGCTTGTAAATTAAGATGCCAGACCTATAATCATGCTCTTTAACAGAAAAATTAAAACAATGCTTAAGTATTCTATCTAACAAATCCAAATAAACAAAAATACACTTATTATCAGAAACAATTTTTTTAAAAAGACGATTTAACACAACAATCATAAAAAATGATTACTTTACAACTTTGTTTTTCGTACGAAAATTTCAATTTTAAGCTTTCTTCATCAAAATATACATAAAAAACGAATTTTCTATCTTGCAAAAAATTTATCAAGTTTTATTTGCATTTAAATTTTTATATTCTTTTTTAATGACACATGCATCATATTTTTTCTTTAATATAAATTAAAATTTTAATGACTAAACCATTTATTTGTAATATCTAATAATATATTGTCTTGTTAACGTTAGAATAAAGAAAAAATTCAATATAAAAAGGACTTACTTAAATCGTTACCGAATCAAACACAAATCTTTTAGCCTAAATTTACATATTTCCTTTTGGATTTTATACCAATTTATGTACTATAATTTAACAAAATAACATACTTTTGAATTTTTTAAATTTAGAATGCATATAAAAATTACAATCAATAGCCAAGTATTTTTGTAATTAATTATATTTATACAACTACTGTAAAACCAATTGACTAAACAGAGTTTCCACCTAAAAAACATTTGATGCCTGAAAATTAATTGCGATTTTTTATTAGACCAAAAAATTTTTTATCCATTATTATTCAAATTAATTTTAGTTAAAATTATCAACCAAAAATAAATACTATCTTAAAATTTTCATAATATATAGAGTTACACCTTTAAGAATTGAAAAATTTTAGTAATACGAGTTGTATAATTAAATTTAGATTTAACATTAGATATATTATTTTAACATAAATTATCATTCTAAAATCATAAGTTTTTATTTTATTCTGAAATACATTAAAAAACATCAATTTACTAATTTTCAAAAAATGTTTTCAGTTTATTATTCAATAACATTTATCAGCAAAAATGTGTATTTTTCGAAATATTAAGGCGTTTTATATGCTTTAAAAAACAATTGGTTCCAAAAAAACTTTTTCTGTTATTTAATTTCAATGTTTTAATAGACGATTAAATCTAAAACTACTCAAAAAACATATTAGCAAATTGAAACTTTTGTTTGCATAAATCAGAAGCTTTTCAAAAAATAATGTTATAAAGAGGTTAAAGAAGCAGTCAAAGCAAAAAAAGTCTGTATTTTAATTTTTTATGCTACAATTGATGCATTCATCATTCAACAAAGTTTCCTGGGAATTCCTTTACGCGAGTTCGGATGGGTTAGCAAGTTGCGAGACATATCAGCCAATAGGATTCATCCATGAATGGTGCCTATAAAAAGGAACAGTAACGACAACCAATGCAATTTAACTTTAGAAATAATGGGCAAAGAGAATCCGGAAGAAGCAACCCGTTACTCAATATTATACCATAATTTAACAAATAAATATATATAAAAAACACTTTTTTTTACACCTTCTATCTATTTTCAATTAGAAATTGTGTAGACTAAAGCACAACTAACAGCGTTTGTGGGTGCCGAAACTAGTAATGAGCCTATTGGGTTAGCTTAAGAATAAATGATAAACCAATAAAAAAACTGCTTGGTTGTGGATACTTCTTTATTTCAAAGTTTTAAGATTATTGGTACTGGGGTTGTGCTTACCAGTCGCACCTTTATTCTACTTCCAACACATGTTTCATGCTTTATCCTTACTGCCGTTCATCTCTCTATTTGGGGTATTTCGCAATCTTTAAATAGACGAGCAGGAAAGTAATTAGGAATGGATTCTGCAATATTGGTGGTATTTAGCTTGGGCTAAGAGTTAACAATAATTTTGTATAAATCACTATCAGGCGTATCCGTTTATGTGATTATCATGTTATGTTGTAACATGTTTCTTAATTATAATTTGTAATTGATTTTTCTGAAATCTGAAACGAAAAATATACTCATATAACAACAATAAGTTAAAAAAAATAAAAAATTTTAAGAAAGATATCTTATTGGTTATTTTTAAATTTATATCTTTTGATGTGCTTTTGCGGCTATATTTTAATATATGTTAAATTAAGGCTTTTTTTAATTGTAAGAAAAACTTATACTTGATTTTAGATATTTATTATAATTCATTTGTTTTTTAAATGTGTTTACTGTTGGTTTTATGTCTCTTTTTTATGTAAGATTTTTTTTGTTTTTATTCTTTTATTGCTGCATTCAAGGATCAGCATAAAGTCGTTTTGAATATTGGCTCTAATTTGTCTGAACTGCTAAAGTTGCGAGAATATTCCACCAATCAGATTTGAGCATAAGCACACAACGATAAATTTATTGTTTCGTTAGTCCATGCCATTTCAAAAAAAAACGACGCAGTAATTTCAAACGAAGTAAATTTTCCAAAAACAAGCCAAGAGAAATATTTCTTTATAAAAAGTTCCACATAATTGCATTTATATTATTTCTAAATATTCAAAAATCATTTATTTGCAGAATACCGCACTATAATATATTTCTTTCGAGAAAAGAAAAAAAGTTTTAGTGTAAAAATAGTTGATATGAATGTGAATCCAATTGCAACAAATAAAGTTTTGTATAATATAACATTTCTAGCAAAATACATAAATACCAATTTTAAAAGTTTTTACTTTATGTTTAGTTAAATATTTTTATAAAAGATCAGGTTTTGATATTTTTCATACTATAAAATTATGTTTAAACTGATATACTGGCATTTATCGATAAACAAAAAACAAAACTTCTTTTTATAGGAGCAACCCTTTAGGTAAAAAAAGATTAATGGCAAAAAAAATCCATGGGAAAGACATGTAAGACCTGTAAGCTGAAAAAACGTGCACAATTCTTATATTTGGTGTCTTTTCTCAATTGTTATTTTTTAAGTGCCGATCGGCTTCCAATCATAGGAGGAAAATAATTGCATCAAAAACTACAGGTACGTTTTTGAGTTTTTGCTATATAGCTATATTTCTTAATTTAGATATTAAATGTATAATTAGTCTTGATATGTTTGAACATGTTTATTGTTAATTATTTGAAAGATTAATAATTAGCTAAAAAAAGACTATAGTTGTTTTATTCTAAACTTCACCAAAATAACTTTCTTTACATATTTATCATTACAAAACAATATATATATATCTTCGTTAATTAAACGACAAACCACATTTATTCGATTATTATTATTACAGTTTTTGAAAAAACCAAGTAATGGAATGCTTAATTTTGGTTATTTAGAACATTTTCCAACACAAAAACATCGTGATAAATTTTACTATTTTATTTTTAGGATTACTCTGCTATGGATCATTGTCAGTAAAATTATTATATACTACGACTCAATCATAAAAGCAACATTTCAAACAAAAATTTAGTTAAAATTACCAAAAATAAGTTTAATGTACAGGAAAGTTCAATGAATTAACATTGTAAGATTAAAAAAATAACTCTGAATAAATATATTTATTTTTCTTGCTATTATGCGTTTTTGACTGTTTGGGTTGCTAGAGATTTCCTATATCCTGTTTTTCTCTGACTATCTTTTTATTTCCTATAAGAATGTCATATATTTTTATATTACTAAGCTATTCCTTTTTTTATATTAGATTTTTTTTCTCAATTGTTCAAATCCGTTCCTTTTTGATTCTGGATTTTCCTTTCGAAAAAAACCGTTCAATTTTTGTAACAATCCTTTAATTATTGAACGATCAAGTTGATTTTACCACAAAATTTTTACATTTGTCAAGCTTTTTATATCTTATTCATTAAAAAAATTCATTTTCACAAAATTTAAAAGTC